AATTATGTTTGGAAATGTTATGAAAATAGTAGATATTAAAAATTATTGAATTACGCAAAGTTCTTAAAAATGATTAAATTTTACAAAGAATTGTATTAAAATGTTTAACAATAATGAAATACTGTGTTATTTATCGACATATAATTTGAATTCTTTCGAAGAATAATTTATATAAATAATTGAATTCTTTGAAAGAATTTTAAATTGATTTTTTGGAAGAATTGCAATTAATTTTTTTTAAACTGAATTCTCATAAAGAATTCAATTAAAAAATTTTTAAATTATTGAATTCTTTTGATGAATTGTAATAAGATTTTCAAAAATAATTACATTTTTAGAGGAATGCGATTAAAATTGTATTAAAAATAGTTAAAATTGAATTCCTAAAATTTATGGAAATAATTGAATCCCTTTAAGAAATTATATGTTTTATAAAAATAATTTTAATTTTACAAAGAATTTTATTAAAATTAATTGAATTCCTGCGAAGAATTATATTATCTTATTAATAGTAATTGAGTTTTTATTTAGAATCTTTTTGACACAATTTTGAAAATAAAGCAATTGCATTTTTTTTCAGTAATTTTATTAAAAAACCTTGAATTCATGTGAATTTTTTATTCTTTTTGAAAATAATGGAACTTTTATAAAGAATTTATTAAACAATTCAATTTCTACTAATTATTTTACTATAGTTACTTAGATAATTGAAATCTTTGTAAAAATTGAAAAAAAAAATTTAGAAATAATATTGAATTTCTGCAAAGAATTTTATTACTTTTGAAAATATATGGATTCTCGTGATAAATATCGTTGTTTGCGACAGTAATTATATTTTGCAAAGAATGTTATTAAAATGCCTGAAAAAAATTAAATTTTCGGGAATAATTTTGTTATTTATCGACATAATTTAATTCTTTCGAGGAATTCTTTTTTATAAATAATTGTATTCCTTTCAAGAATTTTTTAAGATCTAAAAGAATAATTGGATTATTTTAAACAAATTGAATTACAATTGCCCAGGTAAAAAAGTTCCCTGGGAATTAGACCGAGAAATTCCCGGGAGTCACACTCCAGAAATTCTTCGGACTCTCCCTAGAATCTTTCGGGAATGAAAAAACCAAAAGAAATTTTTTTTATTCATTTGTTTTTTTTACTCCAAGGAGAGTCTTTTGAATGAATCCCGGGAATTTCTCGGTCTATCCCGGGAACATTTTCATGTGGGTGTATTTTTAATCATTGATTTCTTTCGAACAATTTTATTAAAACATTAGATAATAATTAAATTCATGCGAGAAATTCTAATGTTTTTGTAAATATTTGTATTCTTCCAAAGAATTAAAAAAAAAACATTTTTTTAAATAATTGATTTTTTTGAGCAATTGAAATTAAATTTTTAAGAATAATTACACTTTTTGAGCAATTCCTGTAAAATCATATTAAAAATAATTGAAATCCTGCGATAAATTTAATTATTTATGAAAATAATTGAATAGTTGTTGAGAGTTTTAATAAAATTTTTAAAAATAATTAAATTATTGCAGGCTTCACAGTGCCCCTAAAAAGTATTTTAGGGGAAATAGAGGAATAAAAATTATAAAATAGGGGACAATAAAAATTGGTTAAATAAAGATAAAAATATAATTTATTTATACAGGGTTGCCACAAAAATTTTATTTTATTTTTCCTTGACTGTTCCCTGATTTCCAAGCACAACTTTAACTATTTTCCTGATCCTAAAGAATATTCTGATTCACTCTAAAAATTATTAGATAGGGGAGAGTGGGGCAAAATGGGGTAGGCGGGTCAAATGGGGTACCTCTGTTTTTCCATGATAGGTACTTTTAATTTTTTTTCCCTCGACATATATCATTCATGTTGATAAGAAACTGTTATTAATTATGAAGACACTCCAAAGAAATTTTTTTTTTGAAAGTTATACAACTTTTAAGTTTTAAGCAAAAAAAATATGAATTTTTTTCAAAATTAAAGTGCTCTCCAAACTTTTTGGGATAATGCATTTAATTTGGCAAGTGTGGGATCTTTTTCAGTACTTATTCTAGAGTAATTTTCAATAGAATAGATTGTTTAATTGTTTACAATAACTTGTAAACATTGCATTTTGTTTTAATATGCAGTGTGGGGCAGAATGGGGTACCTAAGTGTGGGGCATGCCGGAAGCTACGCCGTTTCATTAAAACTATTTAAAAACATTATATTATGCATATTTAAAGGTTTCCTGCAGAAGAATCGATATTTTTGCTTTGAGGCATTTATACTATCGATGTTTCATTACCGATATATCGATATTTTGCAATATCCATGTTTTTTTTGTTAAATTCTAATAAATATTACTTGTTTTTTCATAGTAATAAAGAATCCTACTTTTTGTTTGTATTTATAATCTCATACAACAAGAATTGAATGAATTTTGAAAAAATACTCAATGTTTTGTATAGTTATTTGATGCCACCCCATTTTGCCCCACGGGTGGGGCAAAATGGGATTTTAGCACTTTCTTAGAAAATACGATATAAGTTCTTTCAAAAATTTTTTTCTCCGCTATAATCATAATTTCCTCAAAGCTAAGTGTACAAAGAAGAATTCTGAAGTTTAGCTGAATCGATTTATTCGTTTGGTTCTCTGTAAACAGCCAATTTCAAAAAGGTACCCCATTTTGCCCCACTCTCCCCTACTCAAAATAATTTTGTACAAATTTCTTCAAAAGTAAAATTATTCGAAAACATCAATAGTTTTATTTAAAATAAATATTTAATAATAACTTTTTTTCATTGGAATTAAGATGTTCCAAAATTTCAAATTGAACAACTCATAAGAATATTATTATAAAGCATATAAAGAAATGGATCACTCCGAGTCGAAGACTCGGAATTATCCATTTCTTTGTGTTTTATAATAATTAAAGATGACCGACAAACAAAATCATTAGTTTCTTATTATAAGAATTGTTACGTCAAAAATAACGAGAAACCTTTTTAAATATACCTATCGTTCCTCGTTTTAAATTAGTTTCATAAATGAATCTAATTTGGGATGAGGATAAGTCAATGAGCCTACTAAATGTATTGAGAGAATAATTTATTTAAAAACCAACAAGAAAGAAAAGAGTTGTCAAAATTACAATGAGTACAAAAATTATAAATCTTACTTAAAGAATAACGATTACTGGTGGTGTGATGATAATCTGTTGTCCGATCTCAATGGTGTTGAGCGGTAGACGAAAAGGGGCCTTTTGTTTGTTGTCCTCAGTGGTTGGGTATTAGACCTCTTGTTTACACTAATGAGATAGTGTATTGTATTGTTAAAATATCTGGTTCCTTCCAGACGGTTGTCGCCTCTTGAGCAAATTTCGATAGTTCGAAATTTGGAATGTGTTGTTTCAATATTAGGTATTCGTTGATGGATGAGATTATTTCCAATTTAATATTTTTGGAAATTGTTTAAAATTTATACTTTGCAAATGTATTATAAGAGGTTGTTTAAAGTTCACTTCTTATTTAATACTTGGGGAAATTATTCACTTTTGACAATGTACGTTCAAAATAATACTTGGGGTTATACGTTTCACTTTCAAAGTTGTACTTTGAATTCACTTGTAAACTATGTGATGTTTACTTGTTGACTGAGCGATGTGTACTGGTTGATTCCCAAAAAATTACTCTCTGTTATCTGCAGAAATTGTATCCCTTTTATACGAAACTGTCTTCATTAATGTAATGCTTTGGAATCATTCAAGTGTGGAATTTAAGTTGCACGTGTCGATATTGGTCAGATTAAGTGGGGGTGTTGGGCGACGGCATTGCTGCTGCTAGACGGGGCGACTGTTGACTCTTCTTCTGTCGCACGTGTCGATATTGGTCGGATTTTAAGTGGGGGTGTTGGGCGACGGCATTGCTGCTGCTATACGGGGCGACTGTTGACTCTTCTTCTGTTTTTTAGTTGGGTTGAGGGGCGAGTCGCTCGTTGCCTTGTTTGTTTTTCTTCATGTGGCGAAGATTATTTGAAGGTCGTTTAACTGATGCACTATCGTTATTCTTTTTACATGATTTAAAATATTACTCATCTTTCTTGAATTCATTATACTTGCAAATTGTTTAGATACAAATGAGATATATAAAATATGCTAATTATAATGCAATGGTATGAAATACATAGAATAATAATATAACATATAAGAAAAATACAATATAAAAAATAGGAAATACATTCATAAGTATCGAAGTTAAATTAGGTATATTAACAAGAAGTTACGGACGTAACACCTACCCCCTTAGATTGAGCATGGGAGAGAAACGAAACATGCTCAAACTATTGTTACATTGATATTGTAGAGTAGATGCTATTACTTGTTCATGCATGTATTCTATGCATTCAAATAAGAATTTTTATTCAAACCTTTTTTTTATTTCGCTTTATTTTTATCTGAATTATAATAATTATTTTCCTTATTAATTTATTTTTTTGAAATATTGTATTCCATCCATTCTTGCATTCTTGAAGAAGTATTCATTCAAACCTTATTGTAGAGCACTAGATTTTTATTACAATAATTATATTTGTTATTAGTGTATGTTTTTTTTATTAATGTGCACGCATTCCATCCATTCTTTATGTTTTTTAACGTGTTTTTTCACGCTGAATCCAAAACTGTATTCAGATTCTTTCTAGCTATTATAGTTTAGGCAGAATCCAAAACTAATTTTTTATTGCAAGTTACAGAATTTGCAGGTCTACCTGCCTCAAATCTAGCATCCCTTGTTTGTTTGATCTTCGTTATCACTCTGAGGTACAACCCACATAACTATCTGAATTTCAATTGGTTTCCTAAGTTTTGGAAAATGGAAAATGGTAGGGATGTTGGGTAGGACTTTACTGTTCCTTCTATGTCTAAAATTCAGTTTCGTACAGTCTGTTTTCCTTAATTGGTCTTTTTCTTTTACGTTCGTGATACGCTAAGGAAAAAATTTCGGGAAAGAAAAATGTCTCGTTCTAATTGTGCTTCTGATTTAAACAACTTTTTGGATTCAGAATTCAAAGATGTAAATTATTTAGAAATTTTAAAAGATCTTACTGATGCGGATGTTGCTAGTGTTTTTGAAATTTGTGACATGGAACTAGATGAGGAGTGTACGTCTAGAAATATGGTATCTTCTACAAGTGTTAAGAGGAAATTAGATGACAATTTTGACGTGCCGGACAAGAAATTAAAATTAGAAGAAAATAGTGAAGTTGGAAAACTACCTGCTAAAAGTTTAATTATTCTTGATGCAGAAGAAAACAGTGAGGCTGCAAATGTGCCTGTAAAGGATTTAAATAACATTATTGAGATAGTGGAAAATACTGAAGTTGAAATTGTTCTTGGAAAAAATTTAAAAAACAGTGTTGACTCAGAAGAAAATAGTGAAGCTGAAAATGTACCTACTACACATTTAGAGGCTAATGTTGTGAATGTAGCTGTTGTAAGTGTAGAGGAACAGATTGATTCGGATAGTGTGTCTGTGGAAATTTTAAGCGATGACAATGATGTCACAAAAGAGGAGGACAATATTAACATTGAATATATACCTCCTGTTAAGATCGAAAATTATGTTATGACCAATAAATTGAAATTGGGAAGCATTTGGTTTTCATTATTCAATTCAAAGGATTCTTGTAATTCTATGGCTGTTTTTGAAGGACTGATTCTACCACTGAAGGAGTTTGACATTTGGAATCCAAGAGAGGGATGTTCCGCTCCGTTTGTCGTTTTTCATGATGGAAAACATTATATAGGAAGAGACTGGTGGACTTTACTACCTTGTGCTGATTTAATAAAATTTGCCATAATGCTACAGATAAATGTTCATGGACCTGATGGCATATTTTATTTGGAGGGAAGATATTTCATTTTTGAGTCCAACAGGATTAAAATTGTAAGTTACTTATTTTTATTTATTTACTATTAAAATATAATTTCTATTTGTTTACATACTTGGTATCTTGTTTATAACTTAGGTTGATAAAGAACTTATATCCTGGGAGGGAAATAAAAGAATTCTTAACAAGTTGCCGACAATTGAATACGAAGGTGTAACAATCATTTTGCCTGCTGAGTTTGCTGCGAAAAAGAATTCGATTATTAACGATCATAAATCTTTGTTGGACAAATGTTTTGATACTGGAGAAACCTTTGTTTTATATAACCGAAAAGTTAAATTTGTTGGTGACTCAATGATTCGAGTACGTATTTTATTATTGTGTCAAATGTATTCTTCTATTGTTTGAATTATTATTATTTTAATTTCTTTACAGGTGTGCGAATATGATCAATGGTTTAATGAGCAATTTCAGCCGTTAGGTTATAAGCAGAAGAGAACTTCGTTGAAAACTTTTCGTATGCGCATGGAACTTCCTATGGAGTGGAAACTGAATTTTTATTGTTCAATAGATGAAGGATTTTCTAGTCTAAAAAGGCACGTGTTGGAATCGACAGATCCTTTGGGGACTCCCTTCTTTGCTGGAGGTGTGAAATGGATGATAAATGGTCATCAGGTGAATCGTGTAAGTGTGTAAAATTTATTTTCTTATTTATTATTTGCATTTAACTAAAAAAAAAACTTGTGTTTGTTTGTTTCAGTATTTTGGACCTTGATAGTGACATGTCTTATTATAATTATTGTATATATAATAATAGAAAAAAAAAAGTTTTTAATGAAAAGAAAAATAAATCAAATTATAATATTCATTTTCTTTTATTGTTCTGTGTTTCTGTTTCCTTTTACTTCTTTCTCCATTAATTCTGTGCAAACCTCGTTTTTTACGTAATCACTCAGTAATTCATTTGTTTCTGTAATTCCAGTCTTTTTTGTCTTTAAATATAATATTATTATAGCAATTAAATTAATTACTGTTATTGTTATAACAATTAAATATAAATAATTTTTAATTTCATATTTTTCTGCATTGATAATTTTAGTAGAATTTTTAAAAGTAAGAGTATCGATATTTAAAATTTCTTTGTTAGGGCTTTGAACAAATACATTATCCTGTATAACAATTGGTGTTTTTAAAGGTAAGTTAGTCATTTCTTCTATTTCTATGGCTAAAGTTTGATTATTTATTCTTATTGAACAATCTGATGGTAATATTAGAATTCCATTATTTTTCAATAATTTAGTAAACGATTTTTTAAAACATTGTATGTCAATTTGTTTTAATTCTTTAGTAGTATATATCCAAGAGTTATGTTTTAGTAATGGTGTTAAAAATGGGAATTCATTTGAAATAGTAAACTTGCAGTTGTGGTACTTTGAATTAATTAATATATTGGATTCACAAGTTGGGTTTAATTTAACGTGATTAATAAATGGTGTAAATTTTTCTTTAAGATTTGAGGTTAAGAAGTACCTTTTATTGTCTTCGGAAAGACCTATTATTTGAGAGTCTACTTTTATAGAAATAAAAGATTCATTATAAAACCTTGGATATGAATAAATTTTAAATAATTTAAAGCTTTCTGATATTTGTTTTGGAAATGAGTATACAATAAATAAATTTTTATTTGAATGGAAAGGTTCGACTTTTAAAAATTTCAAAAGAGTTTTAGTATCTATGGTATAGTTTAGCAAATCTTTTTCAACTGGAATGGATTGATGCCATTTATTATTTATTGAAGCTACAAGAATTTCTTGTATATTTTGTAACGTTCTAATGTATTTTTCAATTGAATATAATTGTTCATATATGTCGTTTGGACTAGGAGGATCTAAAATAAAAATTTGTTGCATAAACGTATTTTTATTTGTAGTTTTCATTGTGATATTATTAATTGTTTCCTTTTTTTCTATGAAGTTAAATATGCCCGTTTTTTGTGCTGGTTCTGTTGTTTCAGTTATAATTTTCTTTGTTTCGTAAATTATTGCTTCGAATTCTTTTATTTTATATTCAAGTTGATTTCTTATTGAAATGCAGAATAATATGCAATTTTTCTTACTGTTTTCATATAAATTTTTAAATTTTTCTAATTTGCTAAATAATTGTTTGTGGTTAACATAATAAATAAATTTTACTTCACCAATAGGAAAATTTATATTTTTAAGAGGTTCATAATATAATCCTGGTGATTGCGTAAATTGAACATCTTGTGGTATGATTTGAAATGTGCCTTTGTTTATTCCTATCAAAAAGGCAAAGATTAATAAGATCATTTTATTTTTAATCTCCATTTCTGAAACAGAATCAAGTATAATTATTTTTATATATCATGATAAATGTTCTGTTTGCGATGTCCGCAAAAAGTACATTTTTTAAAACTTTTCTTTTTTTTATTTTTGTAGGATGAGGAAGTCGAAGGAAAATTTGTACTTTCAAAAGAATTTTTCTTTTCATTCACGACTGTCATTTTTTCAAAAGATTTAGTTATTACATGTTCAAGGGAATTACTGTAATTTTCTATATTATGTAAAGTTGCTAAAGTTATTAATGCTGATATAGCTTTTGCTGTTAAGATGTCACTTGATATAGCTGTTTTTTTTATTTTTCCTGCAGTGCAAATTGCTAACCAATTTATTGTAGTTTCTGATACGTTTGTTTTAAATAATGAAAATTTCGGAATACCCATTTCTTTTTTATAACAGTAATCATTTAGTTTTTGAATAAGTCTTATTTTAAATGTCACTGTTGCTTTTTTCAAAAATGCATTTTCTCCATTGGTTAATTTTTCAATCAAACGATACGCTGCATTTTCTCTCGATAACTCTAGATTGTCACTTGTACTACAAATTATAAAATGTTTATATTTTATTTCTGTAACATATTGAGGTTGATTAATGGCGTCCGCCGGTGCTTGATAATTTGAATTAATTAGGAGGTCGTCTTTCGTGTTTTCTTTTAATAAGGTATTTAGTATATTTAGAAAGGTAGTTGCCATCTTATAATCGGAAGGTTGTTGAATTGTTATGCAGTTGTGGGTACAATTGAATTACTTCTTCGTTGTTTTTATTACCTTCTTTTTTCTGCAGCAGGTTAATTTCTTCTATAGGGGCTGAAGCTTCGTTTCCTTCTTGGTTGTTTTGATTTTGCGTTGGTGGAGTCTTGGGGGCCGTTCCTAAATGTAATAATACATTAGTTACTGAGTCCCATATGGAACCTAAAAGGTGTAGGGACCATCCAAACACACTATATAATGCATATCCATGTATAAAGGTGTCAGCGATAAATTTGATTGTTTTCATTACTATTATTATGCCTATAAATCCTGCGCTTACAGTTCCGAAACTAGTAAATGTAACCCAGATTTTTCCCCATGCTGATTCTGCTATTTTATTTATTGTTTCTTCGTCTAGTACATTTGAAAATTTAAAGCCTGTGTTAGGTATAGTTTGTCCCATTATTCCTCTTGCGAGGGTATTTAAAATTATAGGCTTCTCTGCTGGTAGCATAATATGATTTCTTAATTTTTCTAGGTCCTTTTGTGAATATAACCCACTAGTAGCTAGGTATGGAGGAACATTATATTTCCAGGTTTCTTGCTTGTCTGGTTTTATAATTGCTGGCTGTACTACTGTTACTAATTTAGGCAACATTTGGAACCAAGAATTTCCTATCATAAACATTGATGGTAAAAATGTATTGCATTCTACTGGTGTTCCTATTTTAGTCAAAATGTGAGTTATAGGGGTTAGAAAGTACGTTTTATTATCTTTTGTAACAGGTAATTGCATATAACATTCTTTTGTTTCCCTTAAGTTAATTTCAACTGGTATACATTTGATCATATGAATAACTTCGCCTGCTAAGACTGACATGTACCCTTCTTTTTTCATTAAATGGTATGCAAATAAATCGGGAGCTTGAGTTGCTAGCACTAAAGCATTTCTTAACACTTCTTGTTCTAATAGGCATCTTTTTGTTAGTACGTCGTAATACAATTCATACATTTCTTTTCTTATATGGCGTTCAACGTAAATAAATTTCGTATTTACATAAGAAAACATATCCATGTTTTGAACTAACGGTTTTTTGTTACTTAAAGGTGATCCACCTGCCCTTGTTTCTAGAATAATTAATTTTGGATGTTCAGTTCTTATATATATATATCCACAAATCATTTCCCTTGATTTTTCAGCTAATGCAAATGTTATGTCTTGACTCACTAAAGAGTATAATATTTCTTTATTTTTTTCATTGCTGCCTATTTCATATGTTTTATTTGCTATTCCTTCATAAATTACTTCGTATTTTCTGAGGTTACAAACATCTTCTGGTATAGCACTCCAAAATGTATTTCCATTTTCCCTATCTATACATTTTGATTCTGATAAACTACAAACTGTTCCTGATTGTAAATGAATTTTGTCCGTTTCTAGATTGACTGTCGCAAAATATTCTTGTAAGGTTATCTCATACGATGCTTGTACTACTACATCTTTCCATGAGCCATAGACGTCAGTATAAGATTCTCCATCACAATCTCCATCTTGATTTAATGATCCTGCTAGGGTAATACTACGGTAATTAGTAGAATTCATTTTTAAATCTGCAAATTTTGTGCTAATAGTAGGCGTAAAAATTCCTGTTATATGAATTGTGTTGCATACATCATAAGATACTTCATGAATATATACTCCTTGCCCGTTACTAACAGGTGTCGTGTGTGAAAACATTCCACAGTGTTCAATATGACGGCTGATTTTGATTTTACACTGAATAACTTTAGTTTTTGTAGTACCACTTAGTTGTATTAATTGTACGTAACTCTGTTCAGTTGTTACAGGTTTTTTTTAAATATCGCAATCTCCTACTTGTTTTAATGATAGAGTCGTTATATTAGGTTCTGTTGAACCACAGTCGAATCCTATAAATGCGTTGGATAGACTTATTATGATAAATAATAAGCATAGTTGTAGTATTTTCCTTATTCCGGTTTCCATATCTGGAAACAGATTATACTTATTTAGTATAACTTCTTTTTATTCTTCTTGCCTAATATGTGAAAGTTTAAGTCTATTTACATGTACTATCTTTTGTTTATTTTTAACTTGTATTTTAACGTTTCCTTTGTTTAAAATTTCTAGTATTTTGTGTGGACCTGTATATTGATTAGCAAATTTATGAATTTTTCCCCCGTGTAATAAAAATACTTCGTCTCCGAGCTTAAGATTTTGTGGATTACAATTTTTGTCATAATAAAATTTTGACTTTTCTTTTGCTAAAATTAAATTTTCTCTAGCGATGTTTCTCATTTCATGAAGTCTTGTTATTAAATTTGTTAAATAATGGTCGTAAGTTTCTAATTTCTCGTGTTCAAGTGGCGGATCGCTTGACGGTAATCGGGCCAATTTTCCAAAAATTAACTCGTACGGAGTACACTTTGTACCTTCATGAATGCTTGTATTATATGAAAACATGGCTAATTCTAACCAATCATCCCATTCTTCATTTTTATTAATAAATTGTTTTAAATATTCTCCTAAAACGTGGTGAGATCTTTCAATTGATCCATTAGACTGAGGGTGAAAAGCGGTTGTTTTAAATTGTCGAATTCTAAATCTTTTTGCTAATCTTCTCATTAAATTACTTAAAAAATCTGTTCCCTGATCTGTTAACACTCCTTTGGGT